TTAGGCTCAGGCGGAACGCAGAAACTGGTGCATGGCAGTCCAATCAGGACAATTGCCCCAGCTTTGAGTTCCCGAAGCTTTTGGAGCACGCATCTGAGCAGCTAATTCGGCACTTTTCTGCTCCGACTACTGAGGGCCAGGCATGAACCCGCTGGCTGCGCACAAGTCCAAGTCGGCGCTTAACTCCAAGTCTATTGAGGACCCAGTCAGGCCAACCTGGTATTGAAGTAGCGCCAGCAGTGTGCAACAAACACACTCTGGCCTCCCGCATGCCAGCGCTTGCAAGGCCACGGCCGCTGAATAACTCCAGGAAGTCATGAGACTGCGAGCAAAAACTGAAAGTCTTAAGTTGGGCGCGCTGGGCCCCCAGCCTGCTTGATTGGCCCGAAGCGCTCATGGAACTGCAGGAGTAGAAGTACGAGCGCAAGAGCGGGAGGGGCGTGACAACGAAGCATGTTTGCCACAAGCATGGAGGAAAAAGGGCGGCAAATTAACACCACAAAGCGGCTGCGGGCAGGACGCAAATGACTGTTGGCTGCAAGCAGGAGGTTCAACAGTTCTCCGAGTAAGCTGATGTGTCATGCGCTCGGTTGGGACCGATTTTGACCCCGATGATGTCCGTGATTCCACGGGCAGCCCCAGTTTAAGGCAACAGCTGTGCGCAGTTGCAGAACCCGGCAGTGCCTGATCGATATTGATCTGGCGCCAAAATTGCACATGTCGATCTTACATAAAGCGGCGCCTTTTGAGCTCGCTTTCAGGAACGTTGCTCAAGAGTTCAGCCCTCTTTTCCGAGTGCATCCAAAGGCGGTTGGCGTCTTTCCAACTGATGCCATTGGAGCGCTGTTCTTTGACAAACTGGTGCCGCACATCGCACAGCTTGACTGGACTGGGCTTCTGCGGGGTGTCAAAAGAAGTTGACTCGGGGGCTGGCGCCTGCAAGGCCTCAGCTTCTGACGCTGGACAAGAGTCGCCGTCTTCAAGAGAGCTCGCGAATTCCACAGCCACGGCTTCCAGGTCGGCGTCGCCAAGGTTGAAGTACTTGCAAAGGTCCTCAAAGACCTGGCAGGCTTAAGCTGCAGAACTGACTCAAATTGCCACTCCAGCCTTGCCGGGTGGAATCAGATCTTCGGAGACGGGCTTGGGCAGCATGTCCGCAAGGGCATCCCAGTCAAAGTCCTCGTCTGGCTTTGAAGCTGAGGCCTGCAAGTCTGGGGCATTGGCGCTCAAAGGCTCGATCATGCCCTTCTCCTCGAGGCGCTGCAGCATAGCAGTTTTGACTTCTTGAAGCTTCGAGCTCTTGGACTTTTCAGGTGTGTGGCCCATGCAGTTTTTCAAGCGGCTGGCCAAGCGACGAGCGCCTGCGCCTTGCTTCTTGGCCCACAGCTCAAGGTCCTCGTGCGAGTTCCCGACATCGGGAGACGGCGCTGCGTTGTTGGCTTTATAGAACTGCAAAGCTGCAGCTGCAAGCGTGCCATCTGCCAAGCGCCGATCTCCACAAGCCGCCAAAGCACCGATTGCCACCTTAGCGCGCAAGCAGGCGCAGATGTGCGCAGTGGAGAAGTTTGTCAGGCCTCTCCGTTCACCTCCACGTCCTTGAGAGTCACGGCGTTGCTCTGCCAGAACTGGGAGCTGTGAGGGGTGATGAACCCAGCGCCTGCCTGGAGGGCCAACGCTTCCATTCGTGCTGGGACACAACGAATGAAACAAAAGGGGGCAGGCCTGAACAAGTCGGGGATGTCGCTTCCATTCGGCGACAATCTCGTCCACGAGTTGTTGGTCAGCTCGCTGGAGGGTGCGAGGCATATTAAGGGCGCCGCCGCTACACTGAAGGACCGTCTAGAAACAGCTTTGAAGTACTGACAAAATCAAGCGCCAAGCAATCGCAGCATGCCGGACACGCAGCAGCCCCCTCGTTTCACATGAGGCGCTGTCGCTTCAGCTTGTTGCCTGCGCGCTGAACAGATCCGCTCGGGTCATCAAACCAAATGAGGTCTAAGCTAGGGAGATGGCCAGCGACCAACTCGTCGGGCTTCTCCGAAACCTGCCCAATCGACACAGCAAATGAGTGACTGTTAAATGGGAGCAAGGCCTCAGTGTCTCTTGAAGGTTCGGGCGCTGCAGGGTGACCGGCCTAGGATGGAACAAGAAGATTCGTTAAGTATAAGTGTCTGGGGCTGAAAACTGGGTCTGAGCCTTGCGCTGTTTTCGCTGCCTCGTCTGCAGACATCAAAGAGGCCAAAGTTTCCAAGACCTAGGCGCAAGGACACGCATCTACAGAACCATGTACCTGAAACAAGGGCGAGGCAAAATCAGGCACTTCACGTGCAGCAGCCGAGCTTCCAGTACCCTTTGCAAGCTTTACAGAAGGGCCTGCCTGGGTTGCTGATGCGACTGCATCAGACAAAGCCTGCCAATCGAACAGGTCGCCTGCATCAGACAGGAAATCTGCGCCAGCAACCTTGCTTGCTGACGATATCAAACTTGCTGGAGGTGTGATGGGGTCTGCTCGTACACGCCGCTTTATTTCCCTGATATCAGGGCTGTGGGCGCCTTGGTTCCGAAGCAGTTTCAAGCCCTTTGCGTGCAACGCCTTCACAGCAAACGCAGTCCTGGAGATCCAGGTTGTGAAGGTGTCTTCTGCAATGCCCTGAGGACAGCGGCCCGGCATTTCATAGAACAGACGGAGGCTGGCCGCGCAAACCGACACTGGGAGGAACTGCTGGTTGTTGACGCTCGCTTGCAGTAAGGGGATGACGACCTGACAAGGCACAAGCTGGCAAGCTTTAGTACACACATTGTCTTTTGAAGGCTGGGCCTCCTTATTGAGGACTACATCCTCCACAGTGGCGATGCCAGTGAAGAGCTTGGCTGAGCGGTCTTGGACAAAACTGAAGCCAACCTGAAAAAGGCTTGCCAACAACAAGGACGTGCCAATTGCGCACTGCCTGCAACAGCTCGGGGCAGTTCGCCCAACGCGCTGCTATGGCCGGCGCTAAATGGTGGGCGCAAGCCATGTACCTGCAGCACCAAAGACTCATGAGCGTGCTTAACATTTTTAAATAGAACGCACACGATCGATGTGTTTGCAAGCTGCAAACAGATCAAGCGCGCGCTTAACTTGAATTATTTAACTTGCCGACGCGCACACACTAAGATTCGATATCTGAAATATCGAATGCTCAGCATATATGCACCTCGGAAGATCGCTGATCTGAGGCCAGTGCAGTCAGCCTTGGCGCGGGGCGAAGGTGCCAATGAAACACGCAATCAAATATGCGTGCGTCGAATCATGCACTGTTCCTCCACGCGCACAGGGTTGGAGCAGCCGAATATCGAAGATCTACGGGCGCCCGATCACACGACCTTCTCGGTCCACAAAAACGCGCCTCAGAGCAAGAATTATATACAAATTCAAGATTGAAAGCTGGCCACGCCTGCGAGAATCAAAGAACACTTGTTCCAGGAGGTTGCGGTGCTGGATCGGCACGGGGATGCGAGGCCTGCAAGATCGAGACTGCGTGTGAGGGTGGCAGAAATAAGCAGCACCTTGGCGCTGCCGGCTTTGGCGTCGGCTTTGCCGCCGGCTTTGGCGCCAGCTTTGGGGCTGGCGGAGCCAGCTTCGGGGCCGGCTGCGAATCCACAGGCCGATCTCGGTGGACTGGCCCAGGAGGCAGTGGCTCCTGAGGAGGGCCCCCTGCCATCATCCTGGGGCCTTGCTCCTGCAGTTGCAGCAGCAGTCGGCGTCCGGGACTCCACTTCGGCCTGGACAAGTGAAAACAAAAATGCAAGAGGCCAATGACGATATTGCTGCGCCTAGCGGCGCTCATCTTAGCAGCGCGGTCAAGCTTCGGCTGCGGTGGCGCTTGAGCGCGCAGATCTGCAGGTGATCCTGAGGCACGTGGTCGCGCCTTTGCTTGGATGCCAGGCTCCGGCGTTACCGCGTGCTGGGCCGACACCATCGCTAGCAGTTTCACGTGGCAACGGTCCAGCTCTGCCGCTGAGTCCTGCAGTCTAAAAGTAAACGCACCACTTGCAAGACGCGACGCGCGATAGTCCTGCTTGGCAGCGCCCTTGGACTCGGGCTCAGCAGAAGCGCTGGGTCCCGGGTCCTGCAGGCTGGGCTTAGCGTCAATTAAAGGAAAACATTCTTTTGGGCCGGGGTCCTCAAGCTTCCGCTTGTTGCCCATGCTGGCTGGGGCCACTAGCGGCCGCGTACATGTTTAATGCATGTGATCGAAAATGGACGCACGCAAAGGCCTGCCCATGATTCCAAGCGCCTGACGAAAGCCAGGCCGATCAACTTTCCTGGCACATGTGCTATGAATATTGCTGCACGCGCGCAACTTCACAGGCCGATGCCTCGAACCCCGGGAGGACAGCGGATCACCGGCCTGCCGAAGAAAAACAGATTACAGGTTGACGTGAGATCCAAGCGCCTGCGCTAGGCTCGCGCCACGCGGATAGCACGCTGGGGCCAATGGCTCTGGCGTTGAGATCGTTTAAAGCAGTCGCAGTCCCGCAATCTTATCCAAACGTGTTAACGTTTGGATATTATTGCATTTATATACCTTTAAAGAACCCCACTTGGGGGATAACATAAATATAAGGGGGGCTAGTTCAAATGCAATTGTAGTTATGTTAAAAAGTCAAACAGCCCACGCTAGATAAATTTGGGCTTTTTGTGACTCCAGGAGCTTCACCTTTGGACCCATGTGAGCGCTCATGCAAATAAAGGTTACTTTCATGGGCAAAGGAAGGAATCTTGTGCAACTAGTTCCCATGCCTCTAGTGTTCCCACAAAGGTGGACAAGTTTCTATATATGTGCTGCATTCGTTCTCTAAAGTGCAACACTAAAAGTGTTGACCCAAAACGGCCGACAGTCTCTGGAAACAGGCAAACCAGAGCAGACGGGCGTCATTTTCAAGGGACCCGCAAAATCGTGGCTTTTTGTTGGGTTTCCCTACCCTCACAGGCCGACCCACATTGAGGCGGGCTCGCACCGTCTCAATGCCCTTGGCGTCGAAGACGGGCGCTGCCTGCGAGTTAGACTGGCCGGCGAGGCTCGTGACACCAAGTATACATTCTTGCTGGTTCGTGTTTTGGCGTGCTTTTGTGGTGCTGTTCTAGTTTGGGCCCTCAGATGAGATCTTCGGTCCTCAAATGGGTGTGTTTTGTGAGTGGCTTCAAGGAACACAACACACACACACACAAACAAACGAAAGTACGTCGGGTCCCCTCAGTTTGACACATACCCAATTTCAAGTACTTTTGGATCGCTGTGGGTTTCGCCAATCAGGTTGAGGACACTTCAATCAATGGGCAAACATGTTTTGACACGTTCATCCTCACCCCTCTCCCTGCTTGCTCACCTAATGGGCTTCCTGGGGGGAGAGTTCACCAAGAGTCTCAGTTCGGCCCAGTCGGGGAGCGAACCTACTCGAAACACAAAAATCATAGTACCAAAACATACTGGGAGCTAGATAATCCAGAACTGGAAACTTTCCCTGCAGGAAACATCAAGTGAATCATTTCGACTCATGGTTGTGCAGGTTTTCAGACTGGAGTTTGAACTCAGTAGTTTTTGGCTTGCATTTGTCATATAGACTTTATTTTAGTCTGAATATGGGAATGTCCAACCAATTGTTCCATGGATTCATGGGCTCTGTCTACCGACACGTGCCAGTCCATTTGATCACAACGGGATTTCCTTGACCAAACAAAGTGGCCCAAGATTTCAACTTTCGACAACCATAAAACTGCGTGTCAACTCATCGCCCCATTTTGAGTTGACTTGGATCTCAAATAGGGCTTCTACACTTAGAGGCCCTCCGACTTGCTCAAGCAAATCAACCTCTGCTTGTCAACTCATGCCAGTTTTAGGTTCTGGTCAAGCGAGCTTTGTCATGTAAAACTGATGTTCATTTGACTCCCAGAAAAACCAGGAGGGGCCAAGAAGGCAAAGCCATCAGTCAAGGCCCGAGCGTCTGTGGGTGAAGACCAGGCATGACCCACATAGCCTGAGCCGACAACGCGACAAACACGGCTGTCTGGGGTCTGTTTGGCTTCCCTCAAACAGCCCGTTTTCCACTTGCTGAAATTACTCCTCCACAAATTGACATGAACCTGAAACAAGGGGTTGCTGAGAAGGAGATTCCTCTAACCGATGGTTAATCTGCAGGAGTGCAAACCAAAGCCTGAAGTGAGGAATCCTGAAGCTGGGCCCAAGCTCGTTCTCCTTGAGCGCGCGAGGAAGTGGCTCCATGTGTTTTGACAGCTGCAGCCAGCTCTGAGTTCAACTGACCCCGGAGGACTTTAAACGCATGTCTAGTTTTGGCTAGTGAGAGAACTGTCATTTCCGCAAAGGTCAATAGATGGCTTCCGGCGAAGAGGAAGCAACAGTGGGAGGGCCCATGATTTCTCCTTCCAACGCCTTCCGATCAAATGCTGGCGATTCCTACCCCCCTCCCCTCCCTTGGTTTACCACATCAACAGGCCAGCTTGCCCATAGAGCCGAGCCGCGCTTCTTGGATGCCAAACAGCAAGGCCTCGTACGAAACTCGGGAACACTGCGGTGAGTATTTCAAAAACTGCGCATACTGTAAGGGCCAAACTAAGACATGATCATTAGATAAGAATGTCTTTGTTTAGCCCCTTGTATTGTACACAAGCTCAGAGTAACTTGAACAAACAACCTTGTCAGCCCTGATCGGAGGGCTGAAGAGATGCTAGCAGAACTTGGCCCATCTTGCCGGATCACTTAGGGAAGCTCCGGCTAAGCTGCAAGGACAATCGGCACTTATCATAGTTCACCCATCTGAATTCAGCGATCCCCAACTGAGCTCACGTTGCCCCAATTGGTAAGCGCTCTATAGCCGGTGCAGGCTATGATTTGGGTTGACATTCCATTGACGCAACCCAGTTGCAAACCAATGACACAAAAGGTAGGAAAAGGGCCCTTGATCATGTTTAGCCGGGGACCAAGCAAAAAGGGACACGGGGTACTCAGCAACCAAAATGGTGAACGGATACCACTGAACTGGGGCGGTGACCAGTACACCTTGTCCATCTGCAACTCCACCGGCCGCGGGTTGTGGCTCGTCACCTCAGCTCAAAAGCCCTGCGCTCGTCTCGTCCATTGACCCGGAAGTGGAGAACCAAAAGGACAAACTCAACAGATTACCACGGAACCAAATCTTGCTGCTAGAGGAATCTCCTCTGCGGAGCCCTCTTTTTGAGTGCCATTTTCATAAGCCACCGAAAGAACCAGGTCCGCGCGGGTGTCTGGCTTGTTTGACCCAAAACGAGCTTCACACTGAGGCTTCCAAAGATTGGCAAAAACAGAAACCTTCCAGCGCTCCCGTTTTGGGTAACACCTTCCAGGTTCCAGTGGCCAATGCCCAGCCTGCTTCGCGATGTGGGCGCCGATTTCAAAGGCCTGCTCCTTCCCAGCAGATTTCAGTTGGAAGCTTTTCTGGCAGACCTGAGGAAGGTCAACTCAACCACGAGTGATTGCAAAGGAACCACTGGGTGCTTCCAAAAATTGGAGACCCCCACACACACAGGGCTTCCTTCTATAAAGGGCAGTCTCGTTCCGTAGACACAATGGATTACGCACCAAACAAGTTGGTTAACTGTGGCAATCCCTGGAACCCCAAAACACATCTCATCAGCGCGTCAAACATCTGCTTTGCCCTTTTGGTTCCATGCTAATTTGCAAAGTCTGATCCTTTCAAAAATACAGGACCCTTGTGAAGCTTGTAGGCTGTCGGGAAAACACGGTCCTGCCAAGCAACCACCATGGGATAGCTGACTCTCGGGACATGTACCCTACTTTGCTGAAATTAACATGGAACCCAACAACACCCAGTAGTAGAGCAATCTGCTTTGGGGGGTACCCCGTAGTCGAATTTTCAAGGGAGTACGAGTGTTGATTCGGGGATCCTTCGGTGGACACGACTTAACATAAGGATGCCCGAAAGTTAGCTTCAAGTTTCAAGTGTTCCAACAACTGAGGTTCATATCCAAGCAGTCCAATCTTGGGCACAAGTTGAAGCACACAAGAGCAGCTGGCCCAAATGGCATCTCAAAAGCGTTTTTCTCGCACGGCTCCCAACCCCAGGTGCACACTGCGGCGGATCTTCCTTTCCTTGCTCCAAAATCCTTGACGAGAAGGGGAAATCCACTAAGTCTGACTGGCCGAACAGCCGACATAGCCAGTGCAAAACTTCCCCCGCGCAACGAACCAGCCCGTCATGGCGACATATTGTGCAGATTTGCGAGAGCTGATTTTAGGCTGTAACTAATTCTTCACTTGAAGGGAGAGGTTGGCTGGCATCACAAAACTGCGTCAACACCTGCCGTCCTTCGAGCGCCCTGGCAAGCGGACGAACATGGAGTCAGTGTCGCCGTATAGTACCTGGCTTGAGGAAGTGTTGCGTGCGGGCGAAAAGTTAATTGGACATGGATACTGACATCAACAATACATGGTCGAGTTTATGTCCAGTGCGTCTGACCATCAAACATCATAGCCATGTCTGGTGGTTGCTGAATCAGTCCCAAGGAAAAACACCATCCCCAGTCTGTTTCGCCACATTCGCAAACTCGGGTGCAATGATGCATTTGTAACTTACGCCAACTTGCGCCTGTTACGTTCCTCAGTCCCAAATGTGTGAAGACGCACCCTCACTTGAACTGAACACACACCCGACACATCGACATCCCCGACCTCAAGCACATCCGGCAAAACGTGCAAGCACGACGTTGTGACATGTTGTGTCATAGAAACATGTCCCACATGTTAAACCGCACAAATACATAAACAATTGGCTCGTGGTCCATAATTAGCGCAGCCGTGTCATACTGCTGCAAGTTGCGTGTCTGGTCATCCCATGTTGATGGGCCATCAAATTGTGAACGCATGATACATGTTGCAGCACGCGTGAATCACCTAATCAAATATCAGTAATTCATTACACTGCATAGCACGCTCAAACTCACGTACACAAGCACATTGCCATAAATGCGGTGTGAAAACCAGCTAACGACCTTCGGTGAGTGGAACGCCTCAGCCGCAGGAATCTCGCGTTCTACCCACCGCACTGCCCGCTCCAGTGTTCGCCTGAGGCGAGGCTGAGTCAGGACTGAGTAAAACTGATTGACGGTCTGCGGCATAAAGTCATACACAAACACACATGTTGTTTTGGGTGTGGTACTCTGACGCACACGACATGCAACTAGTTCTGGGCGTCTGAAAAGAGGGGTGCAACCGCGATGTCAAAAGGAATTGTTCCTTGTATATTGTAGCACTCCCCCCTGCAGATATCACCTGCCAACTTCTCAATCAATACATACTCCGATGTTGATACAGGGCCATATTGCTCATGAGGGCGTCTCTTCAGAATGGGGCAACCTGCCCACCCCTCCCGCTCCCTCCCTTCTTTCCCCCCCAAGAAAACAAATAACAAGACGGGGGTTGCTTCTCTTGGGGGTCACTTGGAGCTAACCCCAACTAAAATGCACCCATAGTTCTGTTCACCCCGCTGGCATGGGCTCGCCAAGCTGCTGGTTCCTCAAACGGACATGTTCAAATGGGGTGGGCTCCCTGCATCACTTTGCAGCAGGGTAATGGTGACCCCGGATTAAACAACCCGTCCTATTCATATATTAATAGCAGGTGTTCCCATCCAATGGTGATTCATCCCTACGAACCAGGGACACCCCCTATTGAAAGCTTGGGGTATATTCATCCGGGTTGCCCGATATTATGCGTGTTGTACTGGACAGCATCGGATCGCTGGAAAGAGGGTTCGCTTGGACAGGCCAAAGGAGATCACCTAAAGCGGCCTAGCTGCAAGTCAAACTCAACCGACGTCAGGCAACACCCAGATCTGTTTGGTTTCTGCGGGAAATTTGAGCGGGTGCCCCATGTCAATGTCCTACCCAAGCCAACAACGGACTACCAACAATATTGTTTGTTTCCCTCGGCTTTCGAGCCTCTGCCGAACCTTAGAAGTCCTGGACTCCACAGTTCTTGGGGCGAGAAGTGAATGGGCTCCATCAATAGATGGCCCTGCGCAAGACACTTCGATATACTCAACCACCATCCACAAGCGCCCCGAATCTTAGGGCGCCCTCGTTTCTGTGGGGTTGGACCTGACCGCTCGTTCATGAAACGTCGCTTTGGGGAGCCTCTGTTGGAATGGGAAGCAGCAGGAACCCGCTATTAGTTTTTGTTGGGAGGGCGCCTCGATTTTTGGAAAGCTCACATAACCTAGGTTGCCTGCACACCCACGTTTTGAAGTAGCGAAGGGCCCTCTGAGAGGGCTTATGTGCATCAAAGGGAGTTACAACTTCATGTTCAATCAAACTGTGGCTTGTCTTATCCCTCAGTGTAAAGCGGAGCAATAAGATTGGGCAGGGACAAGTGTCTGTAGCAAGCACTAGCGTGTGATTGTGCGTGCGTGTGTGCGCGTGCATCGTGCGTGCGTGCGTGCGTGCGTAGCTGCGTGCGTGCGTGCGTGCGTACGTGCGTGCGTGTGTGTGTGTGTGTGTGTGTGTGTGTGTGTGTGTGTGTGTGTGTGTGTGTGTGTGTGTGTGTGTGTGTGTGTGTGTGTGTGTGTGTGTGTGTGTGTGTGTGTGTGTGTGTGAGTGTGTGTGTGTGAGTGTGTGAGCTTGCGTGTCTGTGTCTGTGTCTGTGTCTGTGTGTATGCCTGCGTCTGTGCCTCTGGGTGTGTGTGTGTGGGTGCGGGTGCGTGTGTGCACGGCTGGGTGACTGGTTGTGTGTGTGTGTGTCTGTGTCTGCGTCTGTGTTTGTCTGTGTTTGTGTGTCGGTGGGTGCGCGCATGCGTGCATGCGTGGGTGTATGTGTGTGTATGCGTGTGCGCGTGCGTGTCTGTTTCTGTGTCTGTGCCTCTGTGTGTGTGTGTGTGGGTGCGAGTGCGTGTGTGCGTGGGTGAGTGGTTGTGTGTGGGTGCGTGTGCGCTCATGCGTGCGTGCGTGCGTGCGTGCGTGCGTGCGTGCGTGCGTGCGTGCGTGCGTGCGTGCGTGCGTGCGTGCGTGCGTGCGTGCGTGCGTGCGTGCGTGCGTGCGTGCGTGCGTGCGTGCGTGCGTGCGTGCGTGCGTGCGTGCGTGCGTGCGTGCGTGCGTGCGTGCGTGCGTGCGTGCGTGCGTGCGTGCGTGCGTGCGTGCGTGCGTGCGTGCGTGCGTGCGTGCGTGCGTGCGTGCGTGCGTGCGTGCGTGCGTGCGTGCGTGCGTGCGTGCGTGCGTGCGTGCGTGCGTGCGTGCGTGCGTGCGTGCGTGCTTTCGTGCGTGCGTGCGTGCGTGCGTGCGTGCGTGCGTGCGTGCGTGCGTGCGTGCGTGCGTGCGTGCGTGCG